GCCCTTATCAACTCTATCGGGTTGTATTGACAATGGTATGGGGGTAGACGTATGACTTCATGCCCCATTTGAAAAGCAATTTCATCAAGTTCATATCTTTTGTCTTTCGGTTTTAAATGTTTTACCCGTTCTCGCAGCTCACTGAGTGTTTCAAATGAATCGAATTCCACACCCTTTTCTTTGAGCCATATTTGATAAGTAGCTTTATTGTCATTTGATTTCGGATAGTTTTGAACTTGAACAGAATGGTAAGGACAGTAAGTTGTCCATTACAATGACACAAGGTTCTTTCAAGTTTTGTATAATTTCAATGAACCATTTTTTAATAATCGTCGAGTTCATTTGAGTATGATAATCAATATTTGCCCCCGATTTACATCGGAATATTAATTTTGCTCCTTTTACAAACCCAAATGCACTCGACTCAGCATGAGCATATTTATAATGTCTATTAAGATTCGTCTTGTAGTTAAACTTCATAGGTCAAATAGTGCACAAAAAACGTAAACGGGCATGAGTTTTTTATGGATGAGCAAATTATCCTTACGTATGAACATCGATGAGCACTGATCGCATTTAAACATGATGAAAATGTTTAAAAAATTAAACACTTGAAAAAATGTAAATAATACTGAGCAGATAAATGCAATGAGACTTAAAAACACGGAGAGAACAAAGGAAAATCGAGCGAAAAGGTACGGGCGTTTGGACTAGACTGATTGTATAACGACAGACAACGGAGTCAGTGTCCAGAAATTGTAGCAATTACAATGATTAAGCCAGGGTTAGGTAAAATATTAATTGGGAACTTACCGTGATAATTTTGTACATTACTATAGATTTTTGACTATTTTAGGATACTATACTGTATTGAACAGAATTTCGATACCGATTCTAGAAACTGTCTTATACGTGTTGAGTATAATAGATCGGTTGGGGCAGGTCATTCCGCTAACATTAGAACATTCATTTAGAAGTACTTTTTTCAAAAGTAAAAAAAAATAATTAAATTAAATTGTATAAGATTATCTTTATTATCAATAAAAAAAGCTACATTTACATTTATTTTTTAAATATAATATCTTTTAAATGTTGGCCGTAACTGCGGTTAATATGGTCTATTCTAAATTTCCAATTTTCAATGACACGTCCTAGCATTTCGACTGGTAATTGGCCAATGATGTGCGTGATGTTTGCTTCCAATTCAACTATCGTAGTCGGCTTGGCTATGTAGACTTTGGACTTGACGTAGCCCCAAAGAAAAAAGTCTAGAGGAGTGATATCACACGATCTAGGTGGCCAATTAATCGGTCCGAATCGTGAAATTAATTGTTCTCCGAATTGTTCTCGTAATAAAGCCATGGTTTCACGTGCTGTATGACAAGTTGCGCCATCTTGTTGAAACCAAACGTCATTTAGATTACGGACTTCAATTTCTGGCAGCAAATAGTCCGTTATCATGGCGCGATAACGGGCGCCATTCACAGTTACGTTCTGGCCGGCTTCATTTTTGAAGAAATATGGACCGATAATTCCACCAGCCCATAAACCACACCAAACTGTCGTTTTTTCTGGATGTAATGGCAGCTCTTGAATCTCTTCGGGTTGTTCTTCATCCCAAATTCGGCAATTTTGCTTATTGACGTAGCCATTAAGCCAAAAATGGGCCTCATCACTGAATAAAATTTTGGTCGAAAACAGTGGATCTTCTTCAAACATTTCAAGAGCCCATACACTGAATCTGTGACGACTCGGAAGGTCGGTTGGCTTCAAATCTTGCACGAGTTGAATTTTGTATGCTTTTAAACCAAGGTTCTTACGTAAAATACGCCAAGTTGTTGTATACGACAAGCCTAGTTGTTGAGAACGGCGTCGAATCGACTCATCGCGGTCATCGCGTACACTCCTAGCTACCGCCGCTATATTTTCTCCGCTACGTGCTGGATGAGGCCTATTTGGTCGCGTGTTATCCAATAATGAAAATTGAGTTTCAAATTTATTAATCGTATAGCGAATTGTGCGTTCGGTAGGTCGATTATGCGGACCATAAGTTTCTCTAAGCTTACGAAAAACAGTCCTCGTTGAACGTTGATTTTCGTAGTACAGTTGAATAATTTGTAGACGCTGTGCCGGGCTAAGTCGTTCCATGATGAAATGTCAAATATTACTAAACTAAAATAAAACGACAGTTTGATACGACTCATGTTTTATCAGTCATAAATTCCCATTTAAATATAGTACTTCTAAATGAATCACCGTTCTAACGTTAGCAATACGCGGCGTCGGCAATAATAGTGTTGTGTACACAGGATTTTGACAAACGATATTGGATTTTGACCCAAAAGATATCGTTCTGCTAACAATAAGTCTTGTTTACGTAGAATTTTCATAAACGGTAATAGAATCTCATCTCAATAATAAATATATTTTTTAACTTCTTAAATTATTCCAATAATTTTTACTAACTGCTTTCTTTGTACTAGTTATACATTTACTTAAAATTGTTTCCTTCCAGAAAGCATGCCCACTATCACATTCAATTTTGTAGACTTCCTCATACAACTTGTGCATTATAACTTCAAAATCATAACTTGATTAAGTTACAAGTTTCTCTATTAACCATTTTAATTTTATATTATAAAATTTCCTGTTAATTACATTAAACCACGTTGTATTATTAACTAAGTGGTAATTTTTACAAAAAAAAGCTTTTTTAATCCTACAATCTTGACACAATTCTTTAATATTAGTACATTCGACATTACATACTGCTTCTAACCTTTCTTCCGGTGTTTTTTTAAATAATATGTATAATACTTCGTTAACTGATAAAAATAATAATATAAATATATAACATAAAATAATATAAAAAATATTCTTACGTGATTCCTTATCCATGATATGTTTTGGTTGTATAAAAATGTGATGTGGAATTATTTTTAACGCAATAATAAAAATGAGGTGCAATTAACAGGATGAGTGATGAAGCCGAAGTGAAATTTGTTTCATGATTTTTTCTCGAGTTCTATATAGCGATCCCTATTCAATGAATTTTTTTATTGAATCGCATATTTTATTTTTAAAATAATACATTGTTATTTATTTCGACTTAACATAGTCTTATAAACCAAACTATTATTATTTACAATTATATTAAAATCCGAATTCTTTCTATAATAATATTGTGCTTCCCAAAGGAGAGTCTGGTCCTGAGTGAAGGGTTGCTCTGTATTCAGGATGGTAGAAGTAAGACTGGGTTACGTGTTCTTGACAATGTGACACTCTTACCATAGTATTGGCGTAAAGTATAGTACAAGTGGACTCTGCGGTTGCGTGAGTTAGCTTGTGACACATATCATAGATGTCTGGTAAAAACATAGTCTGGTGTCGAGGATGGCCCCGAGGTAGCGCATGTGACTGCTGATTGCTATTGGGACACCACCGATGGTCAACTGCGGCTGGTTGTACTTGAACCCGGCGCGATCGCAAGCCACACACTTAGAGTCAGACTTGCAATCTTTCTCCTTGTGCGAGGTTTCTCCGCACTTACGACAAGCTCCGCTGAGATCGGGACCGGTGCACGCGCTTTGGGTGTGACCGAAACCGTGGCACTTGAAACAGCGAACAGCGTCCGGACGGCGAATCCTGAACCTGCAGCTGGTCCATCCGATCCTGACTCTCCCGACGTCTGTGGGACGAGCAGCCCTAGGTACGCTGACCTTGTTTTTTGGAGGACCCAGAATCAGGTGCAGGATCCTTATGATCAATGTTCCGATGATGGTTGTGAATCAAATAATGTGTCAGTCCAGTAAATAAAGCCGCGCATAAATGAAGACTTGCTCCAAATGTCCGATATAACAAATTAAAATTTAATCCTGTGTTCAAAGCTACTATTATTAATTTGGTTACTATAAAGAGCCCCAAGAAACCTGATGTAACTGACCCGAAGGTTGTGAACCACCCCCACATTTGATTAAGCTTCTTTTCTACCATGTTACCTAATGATATCTCATCCATAACAGTTTTGAATCGTAGACCTTGATTGTAAGTAGTGTACCCCATAGACTCCCTAACTAGACTCGTGGTTGCTGATTGTACTTCATGCGGGAATAAAAGGTGTCGTTGTAACTCTTCCATCATAGAAGGTGAGTAGATGCCTGCTTTCATTAGTACATCAGTGCTTTCGTAGGACCAAGTCCATCTTGTTTGAGGAGCTAAAACTTCGAAAACGCGTGCAAACGATGTACAATGTATTTATAAATCTATTTTTATAGTAAAACTCGTGAAAAATAATATTTGATTAGATATTGTACGTATTGTAACTAAAAGTTATAGCAAGTTTAAATATACACTGGAGAATGACCATTTTGCTCGGCAATAGTGAGATTGTACGTTTTGAAACAAACTTATTCAAGGAGATTGTACTTTTTGAAACTAAATGCAATTTTCAATCTTAAAATACACTGGAGATAGACCCTTTTGCTCAAAAATAGTGAGTTATTCGAATTAAGCGCTGACAATTGAATACGCAATGATATTTATCTCAGTTTTCATGAAACATGGAGAATGTACACTTTGAAACTAGAGCCCTCATATGGTTAATTTGGTATAAATATGTATATATATATTTTTATTAATAGTCATCATCTTCGCTTTCACTGCTATCTTCTGGATTTATTGTCATGATAATTGGTTCCAAAATTTCGTCACGTAAGCCCTCTTTGACGTAATCATCGTCTTGCAGTTTATTGCAATGTGTCACACACCTCTTCCAGTCGTCAACTGTTAAGGTAGGTACACACGTAGAGGAAATCCTCGAGTACAAATCCTCAATTCAAATCCTCAATGCCATTCCTCAAGGAAATGCCTCGCAGCCACACGCGCGGGAATTAATCGAGGATTTTATTTGTTTTGATGATATTTTATTTTTTTTTTTTAGTCATCGTACATACTACTCACCCTACAACAGTTTATTGTTTATTTATTTAATATATATTAATTTAATTTAATAATTTAATATAATTAAGTTTATTAATTCGTATATTGTGTTGCATATTATTGTATACGTTTATTCGTCATGGAAAAATCAGATGATGATATTATGGCCACTATTGGTTGCTTGGTAGCAGTTAATTGCTTGAAAAAAACACGCGTAAAAAAGAGGGAAAGAAGTGTATGGGTGAAGGAATGGTTGTCAAAAAGAGCACAATACTCACATGTCAACCTGATAAATGAGCTCAGAATTTGCCCTAAAGACTGGCAAAATTATTTAAGGATGGACGAGGACACATACGTGAAATTACTGTCATTAGTCACCCCTTTTATCAAAAAAAATGATACGGTCATGAGACGAGCCATTTCACCCCATGAAAGGCTCACGGCGACTCTCAGGTTTTTGGCAACAGGAAGAAGTTACGCAGACTTGAAGTTTTCGACAATTATTTCCCCACAGGCTCTTAGTTGCATCATCCCAGAAACTTGTAATGCTATCTATCGAGTTCTAAACCAGGATTATTTAAAGGTAAAAAAAAATAATTAATTAATTTTTGTATATTTTGTTATAATTTATAAAAGTGCTAAAATAATTATTGAAATCACAAACTAGAATTAAAATGTCTGAATAAATCTGAAACTGATTTGGGTTGAGGTTCATCTTGTGGTACGCTTTGTTGATAGTTGTAGTATTCCTGATTTTGTATTGTTGATTGTTGTAATATTGGGCTGGGAGTTCCTGAAGAAGTGATTATTGAACTTATCGGAGAATGGTAGGCAATTTCTGTTGCCGTATTAAAAACTCTATGGTTCAGTGTTAAGCTACCCATTTCTGCTAGGAATAAAGTCTCATTTATGATCCTGTCAGCAAATAGCATTTGATCTTTTGGCAGGTCTCGTAGTTTCATGGCAATAGTTCTACCACTCATGTCAAAACGATCTTCTTTAATGGCAGGTTTTCTAAAATGATCTTTTACAGTCAGCAACACTTCATTTGCTAAAGCTTCTTGTTTTTCTACTTCAACTCTTTGTTTTTTTCGACGAATATTTAGTGGTGTTCGTTCCTGATCACTGGATTGTGCTTCATCATGAAATATATTTTCCTCACTTACCGCACTTAAAGTTGCAAGAGCCTGGGGCGTTTGTTCTTCATTATCACTGTCCTAAAATAAAAAAATACATATCGTTCTAATTCAATAATATATTGATGTTAAATAAAACAATTAGTATTGAAATACTTAAACATTTTTTTTATTATATTATTATAGATTCCTCGAACGGCCCAAGAATGGAAGGGTATTTCAAATGAATTTGACACAAAATGGAATTTTCCCCACTGCCTAGGAGCTATGGATGGAAAACATATTACCATTGTACCCCCTGCTGGAAGTGGGTCTAATTATTACAATTATAAAGGGAGGCATAGTATGGTTTTACTTGCTATAGCTGACGCCAACTATCAATTTATAATGTGTGATTTTGGTACAAATGGAAGAATTTCAGATGGTGGAGTTCTGAAAAACACGATATTTTATAAAAAACTTGAAAAAAATCTATTAAACATCCCTCAGCCTGATAGAATCAGAAACTCTGATATCAATGTGCCCTACGTTTTTGTTGTAGATGATGCTTTCCCTCTGACAGAAAACATGATGAAACCATTTAGACGAGCTCAATTAACTTCCGTCAACAGAAAGATATTTAACTACCGCTTGTCCCGAGCCAGACGCATTATTGAAAATGCATTCGGAATTTTGGTGGCTCGATTCAGAATATTTCATACAGCAATCAACTTGAAACCCGAACACATTGATTCCGTCGTTATGGCTTGCTGTGTACTACATAACTTTTTACTAAAAATGGTACCTAGTTCGTATGCTCCTCCAGAGTGCTTTGACCGTGAAAATACGAGTGAAGGCACAATTTTAACAGGATATGAAGCACAAAACGATCACACATATGGATTAAATAGAAGCAATTTAGGAAACCCACCTCGATCGGCCAAAGAGTTGCGTGAGGATTTTATGAAATATTTTGCTAATGAAGGTCAAGTTCCTTGGCAACAGGACTGTATTTGAAATTTTATTATTTTATTATACTTATGTACTAACTAAATACTTATTGTAATATTAATCAAATAAAGTCTATACTATTTAAAATATGCCATTATTGTATGCCAATTCAATTAAAATTATAACTTACGTTTCCAAAAATACTGTTTTCATTATCAAAATCGTTTTCTAAACTGGAATGGGAAGTTCTTGGTGTATCTTGGTCACCCAGAAAACTAAATCAAAAAATTACAAGCGCAAAGGTAAATAGTCATTTTTGTAAGAAATGTTTTTGAAAATTTATTAAGATACTAATACTAGTAATAAAAAAGTAGAATTAAAAAGTATTAAAAATACTTTTAAAATACTATTGTTATTTACAAATACTCACAAAGTATTTGAATGGTACAAAAGTATTTTTTATTAATTTTATGCTATATTTTATAATATATATATATTATATTGTACATCAATATAGGTACCTATTATGTTACTACTTACTTACTATTGTGTTTTTTAAATTTTAAACATTGTTATTACCTAGGTACTTTTACTTAACAAAAACATAATATTAGTATATTTATTTTAATAGGTATCTTTTCAGACATTCAGTAAAATATGAAAGTAATCAGTATCCTATAAATGATATACTATAGGTATTAGTTACAGCAATATCAACATTAAAAATTATATTAAAAAAATTGTATTTAAAATACCATTGAAATACATCAGTCTTTAAATACTAGTATTCAAATACTTGTATTCGAATACTTTACAAGACTGTAAACAGTGGTAAAATAATCTGCAAAATATATCTAATTAATTAATTTTGTAAAAGAAAATTGGACTTAGTTACCTCAACAATGAAAAGTACCACAATTTTGGTTTGTATACAGTGTCAGCCGACGCACCAGACTTAATGGATTGTTTTATTTTTTTGTTCTCTTTTCTGTAAGCGCTTCTGAGGTTGTTAATTTTTTTTATTACACTGTCTTTTGTGGCGTTTGATTCGATTTCTTGTTGTTTGTTGACCAGTTTCCCATATGCTGTATCTTTTTTATTCCTGTCATGGTATTCTTTTGACTTTACATTCCAAAGACAAGGCTCGCTTTCATATAACTTTATAAACTCTTCCGTGAATTCGCGGCTCATTTTCAAAGTTTGTTTAAAAGAAGTAAGTTTTTAAAACAAAAGTACCTACTTTTGTAGGCTTGTATTAAAATAAAAAAAACAAACAAAATAATTACGTCAAATGATAAGTGATAACAATAATTAATAACAAAGTAATAATAATGATATCGCACTAATCCTCAAGGCAGACCGCAAGTGTGCCACCACACGAATAACTTTTAACTGTACAGTCCGGCCCGCGCAGTTTTTCCTTTTGAAATTTCGAAAAGGATTTTTTGGACTGTGCGGGCCGACATAGGCCTCAAGGCTGACCCTATACACGTAGAGGAAATCCTCAAGGTTTGTCCTCTAAATATTCTATAATATTCGGGCGGCCGACCAGAAATCGGTTTATGCCGTAGTAGTGGAGTGGTGTTCTTCTGACATTTCGATTACGGTGACTTATCTTCTATATCCTTTGTTCAAACGAAATAATATCGATATACTAAATATAATGATCGATACATGGTTAATTATTTCAGATATGTCTATAACTATTTAAACAAGATATAAATTTTTACTTATAATAGATTATATATAATAACCTATATCTTCAAACATACTAAGCCCAATCAAATTTCAAACATGCACAAACCTTCTAAACAAAATATTATGATAAGTTAATAACTTGATATTGAAATATTGTTAATTGATTTAAACTTTATTATAAAAACTTAATGAATAATAAACAACCTAAATGAAATATTACAAATTTCATCTAGATAATGTTATAATAACGACCAAAATGTATTATATTTACATTTAATAAAATATTAACGTTATTATAATATTGATGTTACCTAGTGCTGACTGGGAAATAATATATAATTTGTGTTTTATTAAATATATCAATGAATTATAATATATATAATAATTGTGAAAACGCCCAACGCCATATTGGTAAAAGTGTATATTTTATTTGTTCTTATTTAATTAAAATATTATTGAACAAACATTCATACATTCATTATACTTATTATTGATATGCGGATACTAAAAATGTAAATAGTATGGTGATTTTATTAACATTTTCATTAAATATTAAAACTTACCGTCATTTTCGCTCATTATTTAACTTCTTCATCTTTCTTCTCTGTATATGGCATTTTATAGTTCCAAACTTTGTCATACAGTACTGACGCCTTCTCGACTTCAACGACAACTAACATACTGTTCTTCTATTTAAATGTTGCTCATGTATATTTTTAAAGACTTCTGGACCACACTTCTTAAAGAGCTTAAAATGTATATTATGTTCGTATGACACAATATTTTAACTACGTTCAAGTAACGGACTAAAATAGTTTTGTCCGTGATAAGTATGGGTATCTACTGTCTACTGATTATATCATTGGAATACTGTGTTGTTCTAAATTGTGAAGATAAGCTATTTAAAATATTAATAAAATGCTGGTTCTATTCGAATGTCATACATTCAACTGATGTGACTGCTCGTGCGATCATTGCACGCCGGACGGACACCCGACTTTGACGCGTCGTACCTTTTTAATAATCAAACGGGATACATAGTATGTTACTGGTGGCCTTCTAACACATCTCTGAGGTTACCCGGCTCATAACAAACGGTAATCTTTAACTAATTGGAGAAAAACTGTCTGTGACGTCATTCGACGCCGGTGCTGCTGCGCTTCCGCTCGCTTGTCCCCTTTCCAGGTCCTCCTAGCGGCTCAGGATGCTCTCACCATCTCCATGAACGCATCGATGTCAGGTAGGGCCATAATCCTCTCCTGCGGACTGGCGGAGAACTCACGTGGTTCCGTCAGCCGACATGGCGTCACGTCCTCGTAGGCAGGGTCGGTCCAGTACGCACAAGAACACTCCTTTCCTGGTCCCAAAAGGCAGAGAATACGTGTGTTCCGCGTCATCCACCGCCGCCGGTGGCATGGCGGGCTGCGTCGTCCCTGACCACAGGTACTGCCCCGTGGCCAGCGCGTGTGAGCTGCGGAGCGGTCTGACCTGCAGGGCCGTACCGCCACCACCTCGATCTGCCTGGAATCAGCCGTCAGTCCGGCTGCTTGAACGTGGTCCCGCTTCTTGGCGACGGACGATCAGCCGCCTTACGCTGCAGCACCGCTCAGTCTCCTCGCCGTCGTCCTGCTCCTGCCTACCGCCAGCAGACTGGGGCGTCTGGCCAGGACGAGCGACGCCATGTCTACTGTGCGGTAGCACTGCCACCTCAGCGCCGCGCACTCTGCGACTGCAGGAGCAGTGTTTTGAGTTTTGCACGTCGGACGCGCTCCACCCAAACCTCGGCCCGAATACAACTTACTGTGCACCACGCCCATCAAGTTGGCGTTTCGACTGGATGGACCGCCGACGTTTGGCATCAGCCTCCCGATGGAACCACCGTTTTCCGCCGCGCCGCCGCCGGTAGTGGCGTGCTACAAACGACAACGTGTCAGTTGATCCCCATATGACCTGTTTCACCGGAATGCAGCTTTGAACGAACAGCGCGGGAGCGCGGAGATGCTTGTTCGTGAGGACAACGCACTCCGACTTTTCCGGAGCCAGACGGGCCGTTGGTCGTCATCCATCCAGCAATGTCCTCCAGTGTGGATTGACCAGCTCCCATAATTCCGCCTTATGCGTGACTGCTACGACGGCCACGTCCGCAAAGCCACGAGCCTACTCCGTCACCGCAGGAGCCGCAGTACATCGTAGAAGAGGTTCCACAAACGGCCCCAGGACGGCAGCTTGTGGGACGCCGCAGGTCACCGAGCAGTCGACGCGGTACCGATCAGGATCTCACGCATGACATGTACGAGCGCAGGATGCCCGTCAGGTGCCGGCGCGGCCCTTGCCAGAGCCGCGTCGATCAACGTCCAAGGCGCGGTGTTAAACGCGTTTGACGTCTAACGCCACCACAGCGCACAGGTGCCTGCCTTCTGCACCGCGCTCCTCTGCCCTCGCGCTGTCCTCAGCACTTCCAGGCGTCTCGTGGTAGACTGGAGCGCCTGAAGCCGAATTGAAATCGCTAATGGCACGGGTCCCTCGACGTACGGTGTTAGTCTGTCGAGTAACATCCTCCAGGAGTTTGCCAGAGCCGTCCAGCAAGCTAATGGGCCGGTAGCTAGAGGGCTGATCAGGAGGTTTCCGAGCCTTATGCAGCACCAGCTTGGCGCGTTTCCACCTGATCGGGAACACCCTTTGACGAGGCATGCGTTGAACGCCGTCAGGAACGTGTCGGCTGCAGTTCGCAGCCAGTCCTGATCACCTCGTTGGGGACGCAGTCTGGGCCGGCGCTTTGCCCGGGCAGCTTGCCGGCCGCTCGTAGAAGTTCGTCCACCGTGAACAGGGGGGTCTCCACCACGGAAACGCAATAAGCTCGGTGGATGCACTCGGCGTTGCTGGACCAGACGCCATTCTACGGGTGGTAGCGCAGGAATAGTCCGCCGGCGATGGGCCATCGTCTGCCCGTCAATAGCGGGTGCGGCGCTAACCTAACCGCTTGGTGACTATTCTATACGGAGCGCCCCAGGGATCGCTTTCCACGGAGTTGCATAGCTCGCGCCAAGATCTCTCTTGCGCCCTCCTGATGGCCAGTTTCAACTCCTTCCTGACGCGACTGTAGGCCTCCGAAGCCGCCACGCGGCCAGGAACGTCCCCTCTGCGTCCCGCGCGCTGATACGTCCTGCGTGCAGCAATAGCAGCCCTCCTCATGTCGGCGATGCCCTCGTTCCACCAGTGGACTGCCCTCTTGCCGTGGAACACCGACCTGCTCGGCATTGCCGCGTCGCAGGCCCGTGTCAGGAAGTCCTGGAGCCGACCCGAGTGCTCTTCCGCGGACGCGTCCTCCGAGAGGGGTGACGGAGTGTCTACACGGTCCCAATGGGCGTTAATGGCTTCCAGGGACAACTTTTTCGTTGACCAGCCTGCGAGATGAGACACTATGTGTTCGACCACCGGTCCGAGTACCGCCGCTTTCGTTACCGAATACCCGATGTACTCATGATCGCTAGCGGTGTAGCACTCCGTCATGACGGACCAGTCCGAGACTATGGGCCGGTTGCCAGCGGACCGGGAGAAGGTGACGTCAATCACCGATGTCACGTTTGCCCTCCTAAACG